TATGTACATATATATATATAAACAAAAATTAAAAATAAATAAATAATTATTTGTTCAACGTGTGGATATACTAGTAGGAGTATATTTCGTATTTTTAAGTAGCAAATGCGTTAAAAAAACAGATATAGAGCTTAAAGGCTTATCCAATTACCTCTCTGAACTTGGCAGGACAACTTTTTCTCAAAGCAAAAATTCCTATCGCATAATTTGCCGTTAATTATCCGTAAATTATCCGTGAAAAGAATAATTTTGCCGCGGACATATTTTAAAAAATATCGAGTGCCCTGCTAACTTCCGTGGAAGGAAACCAGCTAAACCCAAACTAACTATCTGATACTTTGCCGTAAATTATCCGTTTTTTATCCGTGGAAAGAATTATCTTGCGGCTGACACATTTTAAAAAATATCGCGTGCCCTGCTAACTTCCGTGGAAGTTGCGTAACGAGTTGCGAAAAAAGATAGCTGCAGATTTTTAAAACGGCCGCTACGACGCCTTATCGGAAACTTTAATTAAATTTTTATTTTTTTCACTTTCATGCCAATTTCTTGTTGGTGTGACTAACTTATATCCAAATATCGACAGCGAAAATTTCAACATCGGCAAAGTTAAAACATTCCACGCCATCATCTAGCTTTCGTTAACTTTGCTTTCGAACTTGTTGAGGTTTTCCAACTGAGTTTTTAATGTTGTATCTCTGAAATAGACAAGACAGTAGCGTTTATATTTAGCAACAGAATTATAACAACGATAATATTAAGGTTTGAACATTTTTATTTGTACATATGTATAAGACTTACCTCGTGTAAAATTTGTGTTTCTTCGCTTAATTTACGGCCCACATCATAGGCCCGATGTAAAGCAGACGACGAATCACAAACGTGCACAGAGTGCGCACTGAAGCAAATTTGCCTGGCCATAGAGGCTAGTGTTGAAAGTGGTTCTCCGATTTATGCAATACATTTATGGTCAAAACGAATTAAGATGCTTCCGTCTACTTTGAAGCAATTTCTTTGCGAGAATTATGTGCACTAATAAGCCGAGTACTTCGAAGTGCACTTTTCAGCATGCGCTATGCGTTTGCAGTTGATCAAAATTTAATTCAATGACTTGTATTTTGAAAGGTTGAATAACTTAGCTGTCTTCAATGCTAACGTGTTTGTTTCTTATGCGTTCGGTCGCGTCATGTAGATTTGTATGCACTTTTCAGCGTCATGGGAGGAGCGTTAGTTTAAAATGCGGGCTCAAAACTTGATTCAGGTTTTCAAACGTAGGAAACTTTTGCGGCAATAAAAAACCTATCCGAAGAAACGTATGGCGTAACGAGTTGCGAAAAAAGATAGCTGCAGATATTTAAAACGGCCGCTACGACGCCTTATCGGAAAATTTAATTAAATTTTTATTTTTTTCACTTTCATGCCAATTTCTTGATATACATATTTCCGACTAAGGGTGCCAACTACCCTATAAAGCTTGAAATTTTTACGGAAGTCGGTACAAGTTAGAGACGTGTAACTTCCACGGATGTTAGCAGGGCACGCGATATTTTTTAAAATGTTTCCGCGGCAAAATA